ATCCTTCAACAGCAACATATAGCTACAACATTCATCGTTCCCCCCTGTCAGGTTCCTCGTTTACTAGCTACAACAAGGCAGTTATCCGATCCTTTAACAGCAACATACAGCTACAAGATTCATCATTCCGTCCTGTCAAGTTCCTCATTTACTAACTACAACAAGCCAGGTATCAGATCCTTCAACAGCAACATATAGCTACAAGACTCATCATTCCACCCTGTCAGGTTCCTTGTTAACTAGCTACAACAAGCCAGTTATCCAATCCTTCAACAGCAACATATAGCTACAAGACATTCATCATTCCAACCTGTCAGGTTCCTTGTTTACTAGCTACAACAAGCCAGTTTTCCCATCCTTCAACAGCAACATATAGCTACAAGACATTCATCATTCCACCCTGTCAGGTTCCTTGCTTACTAGCTACAACAAGCCAGTTATCCCATCCTTCAACAGCAACATTTAGCTACAAGATTTATCATTCCGCCCTGTCAGGTTCCTCGTTTACTAGCTACAATAAGGCAGTTATCAGATCCTTCAACAGCAACATAAAGCTACAAGACATTCATCATTCCGCCCTGTCAGGTCCCTCGTTTACTAGCTACAACAAGGCAGTTATCAGATCATTCAACAGCAACATATAGCTACAAGATTCATCGTTCCGCCCTGTCAGGTTCCTCGTTTACTAGCTACAACAAGGCAGTTATCCGATCCTTTAACAGCAACATATAGCTACAAGATTCATCATTCCGTCCTGTCAAGTTCCTCATTTACTAACTACAACAAGCCAGTTATCAGATCCTTCAACAGCAACATATAGCTACACGATTCATCATTCCGCCCTGTCAGGTTCCTCGTTTACTAGCTACAACAAGCCAGTTATCAGATCCTTCAACAGCAACATATAGCTACAAGATTCATCATTCCAACCTGTCACGTTCCTCATTGACTAGCTACAACAAGGCAGTTATCAGATCATTCAACAGCAACATATAGCTACAAGATTCATCATTCCGCCCACCCTGTCAGGTTCCTCGTTTACTAGCTACAACAAGCCAGTTATCAGATCCTTCAACAGCGACATATAGCTACAAGACATTTATCGTTCCACCCTGTCAGGTTCCTTGTTTACTAGCTACAACAAGCCAGTTATCACATCCTTCAACAGCAACATTTAGCTACAAGATTCATCATTCCGCCCTGTCAGGTTCCTTGTTTACTAGCTACAACAAGGCAGTTATCAGATCCTTCAACAGCAACATATAGCTACAAGATTCATCATTCTGTCCTGTCAGGTTCCTCATTTACTAGCTACAACAAGCCAGTTGTCAGATCCTTCAACAGCAATGTATAGCTACAAGACATTTATATTTCCACCCTGTAAGTTTTCTCATTTCAATTAATAGCTACAAAAACACAGTTGCCAGATCCTTTAACACCTAACTACAAGCTAAAGGGAATCACCCCATCCTATCAGTTCCTTAACTCATTCACCCCTGAAATTTCATAATGAACTATTCCAACCTTTGAATGGGAAAAGTTCAATTGTGTTTTCAAGGTTGAATGAGTTAAACTTCTAGCTACAAGACAGTTGATATTCATCCGTATTACCTTTAAAGGACTTGCTGATCATAAGGTTGTTTTTATCCTGATTTGCTATTAATGGCTATATAATTAAATGACAATTGTCTTACTATCCTTTGTTGACAATCCTTTCATTAATATTTACAAGTCATAAATGGTGATTCATTATATTTATAATTATTGAAACATTGTAATACAATCCCAGATCTAGAGTTCTGTAGATTAATTGTTTGCTTTAATTTTCTTATATTTGTTTACAGGGAATGACCTCTGTTTGACCTTGCATTAAAAATGTAGATAAACAACTTCCCTTCTAGTCTACCACAGGTCGATGTCTACAGAGATAATTTCACTTGTTTTTTTCACTTTTAGAATGAAGACTCTGGTACAATTTGTCAATGATTGAAAGACATTCACAGTCTATACTTGATATGCCTTATGTATATGTTGGATGCAACCAAGGAAACATCACCTTGAATAAACAACGTACTTCATATAATCCAGTAAAAATACATACATAAATATGTAATAAAATGTCATTGAACCAAAAGGGGACTTAGAAATAAAAGTGGGCTTTTCAGGACGAGACATGTCAGAATTTGCATAAGCTCAAAGGCACTCTTTGTGCTAGGTGAGATGAAAATAAGATATAAGGTATTTAAACTGGTTATGATGTACCAGGTATACAAAACTTAAATGTATAGAAGCATTAGTAAACAAAGTATCTCCAGTATTTCAGTTTATATTTAGACAAAAAAAACAAGGGGCCTGATGAGCCAGTATCATTTATGCTATTTTAGCTTGAATGCTGTTTGCAAAAATATCTCACATCTGTGACCTTCAACATGGGTCAAGGTCAAATGTATTTAAAGAACATTAATAACAAGCAAAGTAACACTACAGGCTAAATATATCATTACTTATAGCTATACCTTTGTCTAAGGAAGATTTAAACTTATTTTACTCAAAGATGGTCAAGGTTGTATATTTGCACAAACTTGATAGTGTGAAATCCAATTATTTAAACAAACTTGACAGTGTGCTTTCCTTAAGCAAGCTAGCTGCAGGATAAATATCTTTACATTTCACCGTCTCCTTCTGCAGAAAAAAACTTGTTAAATAATTCCAACACAAGTGACATCTATGATATAGAAAGTGGGCCAAGGTCATTTTTTTGAATACAAGCAGGAATAGCCCTTTATCCCAGCATACCACTTACAAAATACCATCGTCCAAGGCTTCTTGGTTGCATTCAGAAAAGGTTGCTGAAAGATTCTAACACATTTGATCCCTCCTGTGACCTTGACAATAAGTCAAGGTTATTCATTTGTAAAAAAAAAAAAATCTTTGCCAGCCAATATATAATCAACCTTTATTGGTCTATTGGTTATTCAGAAGAAATGTTTGACCCCAGGTGAAAGTATGAGATTTTCCTTAAGTTGGTCAATGTCATTTAATTGAAAAAAAAACTTGATAGCCCTACACCTAATCATACAACATGCCAAATGTCAAGACCCTTAGTCTTCCAAATGATTTAGAAGCGGTGGTTTAAATTTTTCAGCACATCTAACCTCTGTGACCTTGAGAGTGGCTGGTCTTAAAGTAGGCTAAGGTCATTCATATGAAGATGATTGAATGCCCTTCATCCCAGTATATTAATGGCCAAATATTATAACTTTAAGGTCTTCATTTTGGATATTTAATAAAGGTTGTTCAAAGAAAGGGGTTGACACCTTAACGGTCACATGGACAATTAACTGATATCGCAACACTGCATGAGCTCACTTGCAGGAACTTTGTATCAGGTGAGCTCTTAAGTTAACTGATTTTCATGAACAAATGAACATCTATTTTCACTTTTATTACGGATATATTTGTACCAGAACTTAAATGTGTACATTTCCAGCAAGCTCAAATGGTGAGAGCAAGTGTCTGTCTAGAGTTTGTAGGTCCTGGGTTCAAGTCCTTGTCTGGTTAGCATTTCGCCTCTCCTGTTGCAGTGATGCCTGGTGAATACTTGTGTAGCGGAACTAGACTGGGTCGGTCGTCCGCGACCAGATAGCTCAATTGGTAGAGCGATTGTCTAGAGTTCGGAGGGTCCCAGGTTCGATCAACCCCGGTCTGGCTGTGCATTTTTCTTCTCCTCCTGTTACAGTGGTGCCTTTGACCAACCCTTGTTTCAAGCATTTGGTGTATGCATGCTTGGCAAGGGGACACCCGAACCTGTGTAGTAAATAGTTGTATCTTCGGGGGCGAAGACTTAGAAAAAGAATGGAGGAATGTAGCGGAACTGGACTGGGTTGATTGTCAACTTGACCCAGATAGCTCAATTGGTAGAGCGTCCATCTAGAGTTAAGTGGGTCCCGGGTTCAAACCCCCGTCTGGCTGTGCATTTTTTCTCTCCTGTTATACTTGGAAAGGGAATACCCAAACCAAGGTATGTAAACAGCATTGTCTTTAGTGGCATAAACTTAGAAAAAGAGGGAGGATATTGTAAGGGACTAGACTGGGTTATTCGCCGACATAAACCAGCTAGGGAATCTCATTTGGATAGAGCATCCATCTAGAGTTTGGAGGTCCTGGATTCAAACCCCGATCAAGCCACACTGCATTTTTCTTCTCATTTTACATGATTATTATGTAAATTATGAGGTATTTTTATAAAAATAAGAAGAGTTAAAAAAATGTTTTGGTTCCTGTAAATTGTTTGAATACATTTTGTGTGACGAAATTAATAAGCTAATTATTAAGCTAGCTAGAAGTATTAAGGTAGGGAGACATATTTTGTGTCAATCAATGCTTATCAATACTAAGTGTAGCCTCATTTTGAAGAAAATTAAAGAACAGAGAAATATCAATAAAATGTACTGGTTGGCTAGAGATTATCTAATAAAAAGCATTGTGACTGAAATGTTGATTATTTTTTGCATTATTGTCGTCACTAAAACGTGTATACATAATATGTGTGTGTGTGCATATTTTAGCACAATAAATGTAATTCCTTCACATTATTCTCTTGCCAACCAATTATAATATCATACTGCGATACAATACGCATATTTTGAATGTTTTATATTTAGCTGACAATCTCTGTCTTTTATAACGGCAAGTTAGTCTATATAAACAGTATATTGATACTTTTTCTTTGAATGAAAGCGCATGGCAACTGTTTATTAGACAATAATGGTGACAATAACAAAGGCATGGCACCCATGCAGTACACAAAATGTCATCATACACACGAAATGAAAAATATCTATCAATATTTGTGTAAGAAATATACACACATATACATGCTACAACAACTAATGCCAAGTTACCACGTTTTGACGTGGCTATTGAGAATTCAGTGCAGTATGTACGAGTGTGCGTATATGTAGCAAGACACATGCTACAAATGAGAATAAAGAACTTACAGGTGTCCGTTTTTTGAGCGTAAAATTCTTCCACAACAGCAGACGAAACTGGTGAAAAAATCCCATACTGTCTCGGTCATTGGCGAGGTAGGGTACCTGTCGAATCAAAGGGGAAAACAAGCATGATTTTAGACAAGTTTATTATTCAAAATTCACCATATTGCCTGCTATGTTGTTATCACGGATGTTGCGCCGATAGCACGTAGTATACGTACTTCTTGTCAAGGTCCTTTATATACGTGTGCTACTGATAAGAATATTTCAGACAAATTTGCCAGTGACATTGAGATACACGCGCTTAGTTTAAGTTATGTTATCATCTTTGAGTCCCTATGTGCAATTTCTCCGTCTTTGTCGAATGCTAATATCTCGATAAGCCATTATTTACTTACAATTTATGCTCGCTTCATCCTCCGAGCACCATGATGAATATTTTACCACGTGATTAGCAATAGAGTTATTGATTGGTAGTGACGTCACTTTTCGGCTAAATATAGACCTCACACAACGTGAGTTTGTTTACATCTGTCAGCTGATCGTCAGAAAAGATCCTTTGTTCAGGAGTGAAGTATAACAGTACTGCACTCGCTGACGGACCAGACAAAGGGGAATCAATCACGCAAAGAATATTTACGAATGAAAATGAAATCCTGGTGACAGCTGCAAGTTACATATGTCATGTGTGTTTATTATTGTTTGTGTAACAAAGAAGTTATATACGTCTCTGTTTTTACCAGTGACCACTGACTTATATTTTCCCATTCGTGAGCTGCCAATCTAGATATTTGGCTTTACAGTACACATCCATGTGTACACAAACTCTTAAAATATATGTCTTTTAAATACATTATTCGTGTTTTTAATGCATTCAGATTTTTGTATGCGTTTCGGGAGGGGACAATCGTACGAAATTGTGCATACACTGATGGCATGAGCATATACATCATTTATGTATCAAAACCATATCTACTTTTATCTATCTATCTATCTATATGTTATACTCCACAGAGATCAAATGGCTTTAATGTGCACTTGTTAAAGTGCATATCCGCACTGAGCTCAAGACCGATTGTATATATATATATATATGACAAAGTAGAAATATCATCAATTTGTATTGTATATATATCTGGATTATAATATAAATATTAGACCATGCATTTAAAGTAATTATTTCTCGGTCTAAATTATTATGGACTAAAACAATAATGTTTTAAAAAAAAGTATTTTCAACCAAAATACCCCTTTGATTCAAGACATTTGTTCAAAAAGAGATGTAAATATGTGTCTGTGGTTCACAGTATTTTTTTGCTTGTAAAAGTCCTTAATATGTTTTTGTTTGTTGAATTGTTTGGTTATTTTAAAGTGGTTGTACGTCGGCTTCTCAACCGCGTATAAGTATAGTATACCAAGTCATACGTGGTCATACACATATAGGCTTATTGACACAAAGAACTTCGAACTGATTGACGTGACCAACTTTGATAGTCATTTAAGTTGACACATCAAGTGAGGATCAAGAGGTCTAGGTATATATCTACATGTATTGGGGTCGAGTAGAAATGGTACTTATGGATGAGGGGACAGGAATTGGAGAAACATCTCCTATGAGAGTAGGGGTTGATGTTAAAGTCCAGAAAATTCCTATATAAATCTGCCAATGCATATTGAAAATAACATTAAATTGTCAATGCACGTTTGTTTATACAAAGGTATCAAAATACTACGATGACTTGACCTCCATCCTTATTTTATCTCTAGTTTATATACTCCCAAAGTACGTACAAGTATATTAAATTTCATAATGTCTAAATAAGATATAACACTTGTTTTAAGCTTCCAAATAATCATCGCTTAAGTTTCACCATTTGATCATCGAGCACAAAGCAGTTTCGTGTATGCTATAAAGATAAAACAAAATGAAATGAAATAAAACATACATTTTGACTTACCCCCATCATTGTGTGTGGCGAGTACGGTACCTTATCCTTGGTTTTTATACTCCGGAAATTTCATACTGTCTACATACGATAACACTTGTGTAAGTTTTCAAATTATCTCCTTATAGTTTCATCATTTGCTCAATCGAGCACAAAGCAGTTTCGTTTATGCTGACGATGTCTCATAGCTGAGAGCACAGTTAAACTGTCGACGGATCATATAGTTTCGATAGATTGACAAAAAAGTCCTTTGTTAGTACTCCGAACTTTAAACAATCGACTCGAGTTTGCATCAGCTGATCGCAGACTGCTGGTAACACAGAGAATAATAAACTTTCTCTGTACTTATAGCGACAGCGAGCATCACCACGCGATAACAACACTGAATCAATGATAGCGTACTAATTGTTCCACGTACCAGTGTATTACTTATAAACAAATCTGGCTTGTTATCTAATAACATACTTATTATTACTGCGAACTATACATTGCCACGTTTTCCCATGTCTGTCCCGTCACAGCGCGTGAGTAAATGCCAGCCTCCACAGCTATTGGCGGGTTTCTGTGTTGATAGTTTTTTAGTCGGAGAGGTAATACACACGCGCATTGGCGATGAAACTATAAGTCGACAACCACACACGCGCGCACGTTTTCACTGTAATTATAGCTACACACACAAGGCATACTGTACTGGTAAACCTAAACAAGTCTCTGATCGCTATACCATCATTCAAAGTCCGTATACTTTACATAATTAACCAGGTTTTATTCTATTATACTTGTTTTTATGTTATATATTATATATTAATATTTTATTCCATAATAACGCAATAATACGTTTGAAGTATACCACGAGATTGCTGATATGCATATTCAATCAGTACCCTCATCAACGCTGATTGAAAAAATAATCTTTTGCATCTTCATTCATATAGTTTACTATAACCGCGCGCGTTCGTACACATATATCAATAGAAAATGCAGACACGTGACTAACTAACAAAAAGCGAGTTACGGTGATGTCTGACCCTTGTGGTTCGGTAAGTGGTACGAATCTGGCGTAACGCTGACTAGATGATTAATTGGATGTCTGCCAAAATAGTATATATTCCCCGGTTTATATGGTATCAAATAATGAACAGTTTCATGGATTTATCCTTTTAAATAGCCAATTCATGTGTTCATTAACGGCAATTAGCTTGCATGGCCCCATACACAGGGGTCAAACGCGACGTCACTGGGCCGATAGACTTCACTGAATATAGAAACATTTATAGGACAGCTATGTCACTTTGTATTCCATAAAAGATGCTTTGTTTCATCAGTGAACATATTGCTCTTGGTCATTTCATTTGACCAATGATTGCAATATCTTGACCAATGAGCGCAATACCATGAAAAAGAGATAATCAAAATTTCTAAATATGAACTTAATTGGTATATATGGCAATACTTCGTACACATATTGGATCGCGAGGTGGCGGTATCAGTCGTGCTACTAGTCTTGTGATCGCAGATACTGGTCGCATGTTTAGACCAACGACTTGCCCTGCGGTCACTTAAAACTAACCATATGACTGCTAAGAGTTGTGGGTCGTAACTGTTGAAGGACGACTAATCTCAATACTAATCTTACGATCTCTCACGACTTGCCTCATTTTCTGGTCGTATGTGGGTCTTGCATCGGTCGGAGCGGTAGTGTATTGGGGTCCATGGACCCATTGTATGATCACACGGGACAACTCTGTGTGGGAGATATTGAAGAAACCTAAGTCGAGCCGCTGCCTCTATTGCAAAGTGTGTGATCTTGGATTTTATGAGTGCTTATTCGTACCTATATACTCTTTGTGTTTAGCATGGTCTTCCTAGACAACCCTTGTAAGTCCACTGTCAAAGCAATGTGATCGGGTGGGTGGAGAGTCAGACTACTTTATCCTGGTTAGGACATTTCAGTATGATCCATGAGCTGCTGCCGGCGTCTGTGGATACCATTTTCATATGACCTATTGCAAAATCCTGAACAAATAAACAGATTTACCGTTAAGGGCCTTCAAAACCTTCACAAGAATGTTTTAAATGTAAGGACCCCAGGATGGATGAAGTGTGTACGCATGAAAAAGGCAGGAATCTTGACGTTTCAAAAGAGTACCAGCGATTCACTACCATAGTGCATTTCCATATTCTAGTCTAGATGCCACCAAAGCACTTACCAATGCCTTACAGGAGTGCCAGAAACTGACGGACGCAGCCAAAATTCCTGACTTGGAAGACTTTGTTGCTGATATCACTTGTTTTTCAATAGTCAGAGAACCATCGAAGATGACACCCAAGTTCGCCAAATACAGCAGGACCTATATAACACCAGTTCCAACTCCACGCTGGAATAGAGGCAAACCATTTTCTGGTGTTTGGGAGTAAACACAATGAGTGCTGTCTGTATTGTCTCGTTTCAATTTTTACATCTTGGAGCTCATTCAGACTCATTTCCTGGTCCAAAAATAGATCAATGTGGAAATCTAAAGCCATCTTTAGTAAGAGTTCTGTTTTCGGATATAGCGTTGTCTACTACCATTCGTTTCTTCCTGTCTATCAAATACGACTAGACCCACCAGGAAAGTGCCATATATGATATATGGAATACATACTGCAGAGCCTTCAACAATATGTCATGAATGACAACCGATACCGTAGGTATATGTCAATGTGTACCCTTAGAAGAACAGTTTCTATTAAGTAGCAAGAACGGTAAGCAGAATGAAGATTGACGTCGATAACATTTTCATCGAGATGTTTCTCAAATCGCATGGCAATAACCTTTTTCCAGTATTTTGACAAAAAGATAAGGTCGTTCGAGGTCGTCAGGCGAACTATGGCTGTTTGAATACAAGGCGAAGCACTGAACGCAACTAGAGATTTGTAAGTGGCGGAGGTTTTCAGAGGTAGCAGAAATTGTACACACTGTTTCAAAAGATACGCTAGGATAGGATATAGTTCACAAGATTGCCTTTGAATGTTGAACGTTCGCCAAGATGAGGAAAGCAACGGACTCTGTCCCCAGGCCGGGACATACCAAAGCCCTTGAAAATGGTAGTTGTTATTCCGGGCTTAACACTTAGCTTTTAGGGTAATGGCAACAACTGGTTCACTCGTTGTGGGTATATTGTGACCGGAATGCTGTGCTGGGTGCCTTCGGCATGGTATTTCATTGAGGTAGCACTATAAAATCGGCATCAGATCCACGTTATCACAAGGAGGCAAGCACACCAACATTCTCTGCCTCCAGCACACAACCACACGTGCACGCATTTAGAAAACACATGGAGGCACACATTTAAATTACCTTAGCTGTTGATATGACGTCACACCCTATTACAACCAACCAATCAACTAATCGTGTTGGAACCTTGGCAATGTTACTGAATGACTCTAAATTATATTTTTGTCAAGTTGTGTCAGGTGCTCAATTTCAGTCAGTTTTCTGATTGCCCCTAACCCACTTTTCATTTGAATAAAACAAATAAGTACTATGATAAGTAGGAAGTATAATGAGCTACCATTGTAATTAAAATACAATGAATAGGTACAAATCATCCTTGATACCCTGGGTTACACTGAGAGCGAAAGTGAGCGTTACCCCTGGATATCGAGGATGGGTACAATTAAACGTCAGTTGAAATCTTTAAGTTACAGAAGAATAAACGTTGACGAGTAAATAAATCATTAATAACATCATTGAAATACGTGAAGGGATATCTAAGAATAAGATACAATATCGACCGATCTCTGGAAAATTGACGAGGAATTGTTTGCATCGCACTAGACGTGTCACGGCCACCATCTGTTCGTGAATTTACCTACAGACTTTATTATTTATGGACCACGGAACGTGTACTATTTGATGCCAGTATACGTAATGTTTTAGATAAGCATCTCAACACATACTAATTCTGATTCCGAGAAAACTAACGTCTGTTGCAATATCCGGATTTTTTTAGTCATATTTCAATTCGATTCCCTTTGGTACTCGTCCTCTTGTAAATTTCATTTGATGCTTAGAAATCTTTTGCCGTGTAAAAGGTCAAATTACTTGTATCTTTTGTTTAGCGTTCAGAAAGGCAAAGATGGCGTGCGGTTGCAAATTTTTCTGTTCCCCTATGAAACAGGGGTCAGCTATATATCACGTGGTTTAGACTTGACCAATGAAATTGTATTCCAAAATTTAACACCGGGAAATTCAAATAGTATATTGCACATGAATATATACGTTTGTGAAAAAAGATGTCTATTGCTAGACTTTTATTTTTGTTATTTACAATAGGTTCAGTATATCTCAATGGCATATTTAAATAGTTGACAAATTTTTCGTTCTCTATTACCTCGAATCTTTTCGCATATCGTTTCAAAAGTGCAATAGGCACAATGCAACCCAAAACAACACAGGAAATTACTAATTACTGGAAAACGACAACTGGTTACTTTTGTTGGTGTACTTTCAAGTCACATCGAAGTGACTGTCGCTCACGTCGACCATAAGTTTGGATTGGTTTGGTTGTACCTTACGTCTTATAAACTTCTATAGTCATTAAATGGACGAGCCAGGTTTTGTTGTTGGAGGAGGAAAACCGGAGTACCCACCAAAAAATCACCGACCTGCGGGAGGGTACCAATCGACTGCCCCGCATAGGCCTGGAACCCACGACCCAGTGGTGGAGGGCTATTGTGATCATCATAGATGGATCAGACGCCTTAAACCTATCCACCACCGCGGCCCGGACTTGACCACCAGAGACAGACGCATTCTTACATAAAACTGACTTTATCTATATTACCCTGACGTTTGAATTGGGACATTATCGAATTTAAATATCGGTAAAAATACGTAAACTTATATATATGTTAATAGTGCACGTGATATGAATATGGAAGACTAGTTTCCTTTTTTACTGAAATGTCCAATTTTTTTTTATTGTATTAGGTGTGATATTTTACGAACTGAAGTATTTTTTAAAACACGTACATATATATATAAGATAAAATTCAAGTGAAAGGCACAATTTACTGAAAACTAATATTCAGGTAAAAGACACCATTTAATTAAAAAGGTAATAGGATTGTGTCACCATTTCTCAGTAGAATTTCTTCAAATTTTGTAGTTATATTGCTTTGAAGTAAATGTCAATAAAAATGATACTGCCATAGATTAGCATTGCATTAATGTATATCAATTTAAAATATGCTGAAATTATGTCAAATAATTTATCTGTAAAGGATTAAAAATTGACATTTTATAATAAAACCATATACACAACATAATTGCAGGTAAGAGTTATCTTTCTTGAAAAACTTCACAGTAATGAAATAGGTAGCCGGTTTCCTGAAGTACAGAAAAAGGGACACATGTGGCTCATTGATTAAAACAACCTGAATTAATGCCTGGATCGCTTTGAAATACTTATTATTGAGAGAACACACTGTTCTGTCAATAATAAACATACAATATTCATCAGTTTAATATTAAACATTAGAATATGCG